TTTTTATACACTTTTCTAAGATCCACAATTGTGTGACCACTTTTACTATAATGTATTTGCTGCTGTAACACCAGAATTTCCCCATTTTGGGACAATAAAGGGATTTTCCAATCTATTCTATTCTATAACGGTGAAATGGTTATTTTATTGTTGGTTATTTTACTGTTAATTCACTTTAACCTGTCAGCAATTTGCTGTTTGTTTTATTTTTTCTTCCTTAACAGTGTATGCAAAGCATTGATAGCTTAGGCAATGAATTTCAGTTTTTGGCTTTTGCACTTTGTGGGGTCTTTTTTTTATTTCTGTTTTGTATTGTTGTGGAATGAGAATAAATAGGTTAAGCCTCATCAGTTATGTTTCGATTGTTTTGTTTTTTTAAGGAATACTGCATAGAAATTAAAATTGTTTATTTAATCAGAATGCAGATATATTCTGGATGTTTGGTTGTCCTAAGACCTTTGTTATGTTAAAATAATATATTTATGTTTTATGATTATGGCACAAAGTTCTAATACGGCATCAACAGGAAATTACTGGGAACTACATATGATAAAAGCTGCTTCAACAGCTTACCAACAGTTTACAGCTTTTACACTTTATTATAAAAGCAAAGTTGTTGCATACTAAACTAGACGGCAAATGAAACATTTTTGCTGTTCTCACACAAAACCACAAGAGGGCAGAATACGCTAACAAGAATAACAAACCGCGACTGAAATATGTCAAAGAACAACCATCAGACACGTTTAATGTCCGTTTACGTTACAAATAAATGCAAAACAAAAATTGATTATATAACAATGAGCAACGAAAAAGCTTTATTTAAATATTTTGTATGAATGTGCCGTCAAAAAAAGCTTTTTATTCCTGCCCTACACGCATCGGCTGATCAGCACCACGGACAGCGACTCGTTTCAGCACCACGGAAAGCTCATTCACGCTGAAATCTCTAGTGAATGCTTTAATCGTGCGGGGTGTTTAAAGTGTAATTCCATGTTGTTGGTTAATTTGCCCGCTCTGAGGCTGTGTGGCTTTAGAAATAAAACATTTTCCATTTCTTTCCATCCTTTTTCCTTTCTAGGTCACCTTGTTTCAGATCTTGGCTCATTTTACTCAGATCCACGCAACAAGATGATACTACAAGCTGCCCACTCATGTCTGGGTTTTCCTCAAATGGGGAGGGGGCAGTGGGGGGGGAGAGAGGCAGGATTTCGATTCACATGGAGGACAGCGTCACAAGGCGTACGTCAAAGATTGGGGGTTTCAAAAAAGTAAAGGGGGGCTGGCGGGATGTTGGAATTTAACCCTTATTTCTCAACTCAGTAATATGGGTGAGCAATCAGCAGGACTGAAGCACGTCTAGCAAACTGGGGTGACCCATTTAAACCTCTTTAGTTTTAAAATATCCCGCTCTTTGCTTTATTTGATAGAAAACTAAACATTTTAAACAAGACATCCATACGTGTTCAGTTGGTTACCCAGCAATAAAATCAGATTCACACTTTATATGACTTATATGCATAAAGATACACTGTGCACAAAATATTTATTATATTTTCATATTGATATTTCAGTGTAGTCCTGTTTCTCTGACTGCGACTAACTGGATGTGCTCTCTTCGACCTCTGACATGGGAGCTGGCTCGCAGCTCGTCTGCCTAGCTGTGTTTCCTTGACCCCCCTTTTACAGTTGCCATTTGTACAGTATCTCTGCTTCTGTCACCTTGAACCTCAGCAGATGGCCGCTCACACTGAGCCTGGTTCTCCTGGAGGTTTCTTCCTGTTAAAATGGAGGTTTTACTCTCCACTGTCGCTACAAGCATGCTTAGTGTGAGGGATTGCCTTCATGTCAATGAGTCGATGCAATCAACTAGATAGAAAACTTTAAATCTATTTGACTGGATGAACTGTAAAGTGCCTTGAGATGACATGTCTTGTAAATTGGCGCTTTAGAAATAAAGTGAATTAAATTTAATATTTTTCCAGCTCAGAAAGTAGAGAAGGAAATTATTCTATGGGTTTAATATTAGCACTCTGCATAACATGACTTTAAAAATATGAAACAAGCTAGTGCCTTTGTAAATGTGTCTTGTACATACAGGCCAGATTAAAGCATTAAATATCCAAGTGATTTCTCTTGTGGGAAAGAAAGCATAATGATATTTTGATCTAGAAAACGATGTAAAATAAAAAGGAACAATTTCCTTCCTATGTGTACAAATTATTTACAGCATTTATGGTAAAAAGAATCAGAGAGACTGGCTTGTTAAGTGATTTTTAACATCTGGACTGATCGATGGAGGAAGCGACTGATGAGGGTGGAGAGAATAGACTGAAAGGGAAGGGAGGGTGTGGATGGGGGGGTGAGCGTGAAGAAGCGAGGAAGCGACTGATGAGGGTGGAGAGAATAGACTGAAAGGGAAGGGAGGGTGTGGATGGGGGGGTAAGCGTGAAGAAGCGAGGAAGAGGAGGAGGAGGACGGGGGGGGGAGGCATACGTGATATTCTGAGCCGCACTGTAAAGGGGGCCGTCCCTGTTCAGTGGAGATCTGCCGGAGGAAGGCCCATCTAAAGATCATCAGAAGATATCACCGATTCAGACGCTAGTTTGACGGGAGGGTGACACCGGATCATAAGGGGACAAGTCAAAGGCTGTCTGTAAAGAGGTGAGCGCGGATTTCACACATTCATTCCCATCGTTCATTTGATCATTAGACATATAGAGGTCACCAGCATTTGATGGCCATGCCTCGAAGCATCGTCATGCATAGTAAGACACCGGTTTGCACGGAGCATCAACACATTGAGCGGTTAAAATGTAGAAAAGCGATGAATTTGGAGCATAACGGAAACAGCTCATGTGGTTTGGACGGATAGACGTGATGCACGATCAGGTGGTGTAACTTGATGCATATAATTAGGCTGCAGATGCTGGATGAAGGATGCTTGACCTGCATGATAGATTCTGAAGAATTGGTGCCTAATATCGCACCAAGCTGTTAATCTGCAGCTTTAAGCTGCTCTCATTTAATATTAGTCTGTTTGCTGTGTGTCCTCGTATAGATGCTGTATGCATCTATAGTGCCCCCCCTCCCCCAGCATCATGGTGTGGCTTTAACACATATGGTCAATTCAACCATTTAATTTAATGTAGGACAGTATGACATGCAGTCCCTTATATGGAGAAAAATGAGGCCAGGTGCAATGGCCTATTGTAATCGCGCGGCTATTGTGAGTAACATTTAATACGTGCAATAATTAATGATGAGCAATTTCATTCAAATATATTTTTCCCTTTAAATATTTCATGCACTGACAGGGTTTGAAAAAAATGGGGCTGAATGCATGAGTGAGCAGAGAGAGGTTTTTACCACAGGCTGCAGGCTGAACTGCAGCCGTCACGACCAACCACAGGAGGCGGTGCTGCCTTTTTCCACTACCTTCAACCAATGCTCCTCTACAATACAGCCACGCTTTTTAAAACACAGCTACAGTATATTTACTCCAGCAGTTAAACGTTAC